ATTTCCTAATGTGCATATAAATATAAAATTAATTATAAAAATTTAAAGACAATTATTATTGATGGTTTTATAATCATTTCCTGACTATTTCTTTAGAATTCTCTTTTTATTTTTCGTCTCTGGAATGCGATTTACGTAGTCGCGTTTTAGACTATTTCAAAGTTTTATCACACATGTTTATGCTATGTCTAATAATGTTTCGCTTAATTGCTCGGAGATTTGCATAAAATCACTGGAAAAAGAAAAATATCAGAATAGTGAGAGGACAGAAGCTCTCAGTTGCATCATTCTGTCTCCTGTCAAATGCAATGACAGATGGGATTCTTCGAATTTCTTCGAGCGCGTTACTTGAATACATAGCGTATCCAATGTCCGTTTTTTTTCCTTACCGTCAATCTTTACCGTCGATCTGATTACATCATGTTTATATTTATCATTTGTACGAGTTTTTATTTGATATTACATCACATACGCGGTGATGCAGACAGCAGTTCGTTTTTATGTTAGTCGATCGATATCGCATTTCGTAAAGCGTTCTCACGAGTTATCGTAAAGGGTATATTTCGAGGGTACTCTTTATATATAAGTCTAATACAACTTTTTCTCGTCTTGGAGCGATAATGCGTGTTGGTCTACTTTTCAAAACTCTAAGACTATTTTCTATTCTTTCAAGCTGCTATATGATGGGCGTGGAAAAAGAAAAGGTATGGTATATATTTATATAAAAGCGCGCAATTTGTTCATCAAAGGTGTAGCTGGAAAGCAACATTTGCATTTTACAATTAACTTTTATTTTGTTGATTTTATAATTGAAATCACACAAGATATAACGAGAGGATAAATGAAGATTCTTGTAAAAATTATTCTCGAAGCTGAGAAGAATAAATTTAATCAAATCTAAAGTTGTCACAAGAGTGGATTAGACCAACACTACACTTTCAATTTTTCAAACACATTCTTGCGCTTTCCACCTACGCCCCTCTCGTGCATGTCACGAAATATGTATAATTAAATATTTCGCTCTAGTCAAACGAGGATGTTGAGGAACAAGCATCGACGCCAACGGCACTGGCTCCAGCCTCGAAGGTAATTCATCTTCCATTGATGTTAATTCTCGAGTATTGTTTACTTTCGCGCGGTTAGCCTGATAAACATTTTGATAAAAAGAAACTTTGGTATAAAACTCGAAGATATAATTTGAAAACATATTATGTATTTATCATATAATTCATACTTGTCGTTTTTTAAATGCAATGAGTCTTTAAAAAATTAGGAGCTGAAATGTGCAAGTGGTGCATATTCTCTCTTATTGTTAATTGCGAAACAAAATATTTCTATGAATAATCGATTTTATATATCATTTTGGTGCGAAATGCATTCAGATTCGATCAAAACTCGAGGATTAATAAAATTGACGGCATGTTACTAATTTTATTTTTACGATGATGCAAAATTATAACACTGAATAATCTTTGAATACTTATCCGTTTAGTTGGCCGCCCAATTACGATAACGTTTTGTCATTTGCTTACAACACTACTTACGAAATTAATCTCAATTTTTTCCTGGTATATCTCTCTTTCTCTCTCTCTCTCTCTCTCTCTCTCTCTCTCTCTCTATCTCTTTATTTTGCACGCAGACCTCTACGGCCGATAAGGATTGGGTAAGTACCAACTACTCCCTCTTGATAGCATATTCACCGTCGTTGCGCGTCGAGAAAGTGAATTACTTGCTATGGAGTGTGAATTGTTTCGGGAAAAAATGTACATTAATGTAACGAGCAGAACGTTGTTGATGTTGATGTCTCGTTAAAGTCATTGACACGAATTATCTCCGAGTCTCGTCCCGCGTTCTATTAGCGGAATACCATCGAATGTATGTAAGCATTCAAGCTCTGTGTGTATATGTATGCATATGTGTATACTTACACATTGAGCTATTTTAAACGTGTATAAATATTTTATCGACTCATAGTGACGACTAAAATAAAGTCAGCCAAATGATAAGATAAGTATCTAATGTAGTACGTTATATAAAATTTCGATTATGTTGAGTGCAAATAATATCGAAATAATTACCATAAATTCTCGAACGCTACAGAAAGCAAGCTGTGCCACGATAAACGTGCGATACAAAGTCCAGAGAAAGATAACGTTCTATCACTGCGATGTGTTGAAATTTCAGTGATCAATACAGGTCGGAAGGGAAGGAGTGTATTTTCGCGTATTGGTTCCTCGCCGATATAAAGCAAGGCTTAAAACATTTCGAAAATGTTATCTTTATTGAGGAAATAAAAAAAAAACAATAAACTTTCATCGCTGACAAATTTGATACATGTAAGAAAAATTTTGTAGATATTTTATATTAATTTATTAAAAATCTAATTTTTGCGAATAAACTTATCTTGACAGAAATTAAATCCCCGCGGTATAAATGGCGAGATATCTAATTTCAAACATGAACGATGAATAATAGCAGCCGGATAGCAGTCTTTGTTTGATATGTCTGGTTTAACAGAGAATTGTTGAATAGGTAAAACGCAGTATAATACTTTGCAGTAATACTTGTTCGTTCGACGGGAACGACACGTGCATTTGTTTTACCAGTATTTACACGCAAATTGGATCGTACACGCGCGTCGTTAAACTGCAGTGTCGACGTATTACGACGAATTAATAATAATTGCTTTTAATAGTGAAGAAGCATATCTGCTTGTCTGTCTCGGAGTCTATCCATATCGATATTAATTGCAACCTTTTATCGCCACGCTTGAAATAATACAACAAAGGAGAGATGAAACAACTTTATTTCTTAAAGAGAATCTGTTCTTTATCGCGACATAAAAAAATTCACTTTATTATTAAAACTCTCTCTACTTAATTTTTCTCACACAAATAACGAAAAATACAAATAAATAACAAACTAGTAGAAAAATAACGATGCAAACATCGCAAATACAATTAAAACCACAATTACTCAGAACATCATGTGTGCTGCAACACACCATTTTATTACAATATAATCTCTGCAGGCTGTCTGGCCTGTATTTATCTCAAACTGATTTATTTATTTTAAACTGTATTACAACATCATAATGAAATTTGTATTTCAGATGATCATTATTTAGCTTTAATTTGGTAAATATTTGCGACGACGCATTCGTACAACGATAAAATATTGCACGCTGTTACATCGCTCACATATCAGACTTTGAAACGTTGAAGGTTGTTGTCTCTGTCTCTTTCTCTTTTTGTCTCTTTCGATTAAATGATATTCCTAACCGAACAGGTTATGAAACCAGGGCTGGGCAAAATACATCATTAAGTATTTGAAATACAAATACAAAATACTGTCAATCTTAGTCAGGGCTGGGCCAAATACATCATTAAGTATTTGAAATACAAAATATAAAATACTATCAATCTTCTATCAAAATACCAAGATTGACAGTATTTTGTATTTCAAATACTTTTTCCCAGCTCTGTATGAAACAAATGTTAACTTTGGTTTGCAAACTTTAATGCACCTTGGTATAATTCTTCGAGATATCGATACATGTAAAACTAACATTTGATTGCAACTATATTTATTTATAAAGTTTGCATTCGATTTCATGAATTGAATGTTATTCTGTGGAGCGAATGTAGCGCGTGCTCGCGGCGAAATAAACTTCAAAGTCGACTACACGAGAGTTTTCCGTGACATGTGCCCGAGGAGAGAGTCACACAGAACACAGACAACCCATTGTAATATGGCTAATTGAACAATTGACGCTTACTGATGTGACTCGACTCGACTTGGGCGCATCATTAACGGGCCGTGTCCGGTATCATGTGTACTCCGTACGGGCCCAAAGTACACTCTCGTAAGAAATATGAAGAGGGACAAGGTACACGTGCAGAGATTAAAATTCAAGATGCTGGGTATATTTTTTATTTTATTTTCAAGATTAGTTTTTACGATGAAAAATGTGGTGCATGTATGGGAGATGTTTGTTTAAAATTGTAATTGCTACGAATTAAAACTATTTTGTGGAAAGTGGAAAAAAATTATTTTCGAAGAGTATTGTGTAAAAATGTGATACAGAAGTTGATAAGAGTAATTGAAGGATATTTCTTTTGAAAATTTATTATAAAAATTATTTTAGTAGAAAAATGAA